ATTATTTTCTTGATAATTGTTTAATGTCAAAGTTTCGTTAATTAAGTATTATATAATTGGTCATATATTGGTCCTATTTTCGCCGTCCATAAAACGTCAAAAAATGACGTCTTGTGGATGTGACATATCGACGTCATTTTCGGGTCTCATGAGACCTAACTTAGGACGTCTAATTGGTCATTTTGCGACCAAAATTTACCGTCATTATGGCCGATATTCATAGGCCGGTATTCATAGTCCGTTCTTATATTTAAGATTGTCTTAAGCACGGACTTATATTCGCTCTCTTCGTCACACATAGATTGTGTCTGACGAAGAGAGCGAATATAAGTTCGTGCTTAAGACGATCTTGAATATAAGAACGGACTATGAATACCGCCCATAGTCCGTTCTTATATTTAAGATTGTCTTAAGCACGGACTTACATTCGCTCTCTTCGTCACACATAGATTGTGTCTGACGAAGAGAGCGAATATAAGTCCGTGTTCAAGACAATTTTGAATATAAGAACGGACTATGAATACCGCCCTATGAATACCGAATATTATCAATTTGTATCACCACGCCGGGTATCACATGTGCATACGCACGTACAGATATACACATACACACGCATTGTCGCCATTTTGTGTAGGGTGTCATGGCCGAAACCGGAAATCCTGCCGGCCTCAGCTCTTTTGACGAAGTTAGCGATCTAGTACTAGTATAGACATCTGTGTTCACAGCATGCTATTGCTAGATAATTTAATGAAACATTCCTGAACGTAATAGAGCGTCTTGTTTATTTATAGTTTATTCATTTATTCTTGTTCGTTTTTTTAGGGCAGGATTTTTTCCATTTTTTTTCGGGGATTACTTTTGGAAATCAAACGCAGTCAGCTTATCATTAGCGATAAAACAAACAGAATAAAAGTTTTATTTTAATTTATATAAAATAAATATTACTGATTCAAATAAAGACTTAATTATTTATAACAATATTAATGAAGAAAGAAATATATGCGTATGCGCATGCGCAGTTCAAAATTTGGCGCAATTTCCTACCTCGTCACGTGACTCGACTTATTATAGTTTCTTCTACCGTAGGTCTGTTCTTTATAGCTGAACTGGCTACACTAGTTCAGAATTGATCTTTTTCCCTCCATATTGGAAGGAGAAAGATAAACTCTGAACTAGTGCAACCAGTTCAGCTATAAAGAACAGACTTCGTGATTGCACGCCTAGAGTGCGTTCGGAAAACTCTGTTTATTGGGTGTTTTATCTATTGTCTATATTATACATAACGTATACTATACGTATACTATAATTTTCACTCTCCGTCTTTTACAACAAACAAGAGAGCACCGGAGAGTATTCTTTAGTTTTCCGGTTTCTGTAGGTTAAGAAAAATAAGGTACGCAATAAAGTGCACTTTGTATACAAGTATTTCTTTATTTCTAAAACGAAAAATCTTATCGAGTGTGCTGTAAGTAAATTTCTTTTCAATGCATCGTCGTAATCATTTTGAATCACACGGAGACAATAGTCGTTGATCTAAATATAATGTGTGACTCTTAAAACTCATCGAATCAATGTCCAATTTGTAAACATGTGACGCGATGTGATTATTGTATAATAACAAAGCATATCGTACGATGAATAACAAGATTTTATGTTTTAGGAGGACATTTGGGCAACTGACACAAATGAATATTAATCTGATAGTGAATCTCTTATGAACCTCTTGATGGAAAAAGGTAACCAAATTGATAATGTTTTATAATTGCATTTTCTAATTTTCTTTCAATTTCTTTTCTTGTTAATTAATTTTTTTATATTTTTTTTAGCATTTGGTTATGAGTGAGTTTTAGTACTTGATGTATTACATACTTTAAGAATATAAACTTTAAAACTTCAAGGTAGTGTAAGATAATTTACGTCATTTCACTGTTTGAAAAAGATGATAAGTCATAATTTTGTGACAACGAGATTAAGTTATATTTAAAAGTTAAAAAACCTTTACCTTTGCATGTGTAAAAGAAAAGTAAAATCAGTTCAATTACTGAAGTCCCAGATGCATTAGTGAGTTAAGTCATGAGATCGGTGGAATGATTTTATTTAAAGTACATCAAAAGTCATTTTTGCATAGTTTTTTCTCACCCAATTTAAGGTTATTTCACCTTTTGAGTATTATATTAATAATCAATAACGTGTTTTCAGTAAGTTAAATAAAAATGTCAAAATTGATCATTTAAGGTTAGATTTTTTCTGGCAAGTTTTCTGAAATCTATTATTTTCGACTTAACATTTTTTTCATGCGCAGCATCAATTTATTATATGTACATTTATTTATATGTTGTATATGTTACTTTAATGTAGTAAAAGTGATTGTATGATGATTTAGGCAGTGTGTATTGTAACTATAAGAGTTATAATTTGTCTATAACGAATATGTTACAGATGGATTTGAAGAGAAATAATTTGATTTTAAAGAAAAACTATAATGATTTTTCAATAAGAGACATTTCGGTGAGACTTACACCTATATCAGAGCAATTGAAAAAAACAAAAGTAAACATACATTGTCTTAAAGATTCTTATAATAAGAAGAGACGCAGATATTTTTGGAAATTTGGAAATTACAACCGTGAGAATAATCTCAAACGTAAGTTAATTCAGACTAAAAAAACGAAAGAAAATACGAAATCTACTATTGAAGTTACATCAAAATCAAATACAGATAAGATGGATAGGCACATACACTTACATGAGCAATCATGTGAAGAAGATAAAAATTCGTATGTAGAAGATACAGAGACGGATGATGAAATTTTTACTTTGTCGACACATGAAGCAGAGAGTGAAGAAGACTCAGAGTCTAATGACGAATCTGGCGTGTCTGCACGTACTTTATCATATGACTTTCATCGGAAGATTATTAGATCACTGTCATCTAACGTTGCAGCAAATAAAAAAACAAGCGGCAATTCTTTATCGTCACTTTCTTTAAACAATGGAATACATAAAAATAGGCATAAGCAGAATGATAAAACTTTTGTGTCTAAATATGACTTGTTTCAAAACAAAACTGAAAAACTATTACCAGAAAAACTGATGCGTAAACAGCGGAAACACGATTCCACAAATTTTATACAAAAACGGTTAAATAAGTGGAAGTTTAAAAGAAAGGCTTCACTTGATGAAGAATCATCAAGTGAGCTGCCTGTACCAAAGAGAAGATGTCAAAATATTATATTTGTTTCATCTGATAGTGAAGATAATGAAAATACAACTACAAGTAATGTAAAAGTGCTCTGTGATGGTGATCCAAGAAAGCCTCATTCATCTCATGAAAGACTGAATCAAGAAGAATCGCAAACAAGCATACAGATTACTCAAGAGGCACGGATTATTTTGACGAAATTAGAGCAGTTGAATGACGCAAATGCTATTAAATGGCGAGAGAAGAAAATGAAGAATGCTTCCAAGATGATTATATCTCAGCCACTAGTAGAAGAACAAATGGATAAATCAAAAGTAATTGATAGTAATGAAGAAGTATCAGAACGTAACAAGAGTTTGCACGTTGAGGTTGAAAGTCCAATTACTTTGAAACAGATCTATCAAAACGATAGATTAATTTCGTCAGAAAACGCTTGTCTAACAGAGAAAAAAGATAAAACATTACAGTTGAACAATCACAGTAATTTATCAAACATGAGGAAGCTAAGGAAGAAATACAAATTATTTAAAAGCCCTAAGGTTCTAATGATAGAACTGAAGAATTTACAAAGTTCTTCCAAGAATGGTAGATATTCAGCTACTGAGATTGATCGCTTAACGATTAAATTTATTAACTCTGTGATACAATCTAGTTCCTTATCTAAGTCTAACAAATCATTGTATAGATATGTGCACAGAAAGCAAAACATGACAAACATTGCTCGCACAGGGGATGATGCAAGCTCCAGCATGTGTGCACAAAGGATAGACGAGAGTTTTAAACGATCGGATAAAGAAGGTGCAACGAAAGGTACAACTATTTTCAAAACATTTATAATTCTATTTTTATATAGTTACAAAGTTAATTATACATCATTTGTATACCGTCGCTCTATGAAATACGTTTTTGCGCAACATTAGAGAAACAAGATTTAAGAGAAGCGTACATATTGTCATATGAGTCTTAAGAGACTACAATCTTATCAATTTAAATTATAACTTTATATTAATTTCACCTACAATCTTTTATGTGGTCTTGTAGAAATTTTGTTAAAGTTCCACGAAAGTATACATTCAGATAATCGTTTCATAGAAACCAAGCATACTCCTTTCGAGTTGAATTTTTTGATCAATTTTCTTTTCTTACAGCTAGTGGTTGTAGAATAATATTAATTAAATTATATTATACAATCATATTGATATTTTATTTGATTTTGTCATTAACAGTTATTCGTGTTTAACATGCTAATATTTGATTTTCATTTTTGTTGCAGACACTCAAGTCACGAACAACAGCGACACGAATGCATTTAAGATTCGTATAAATTGTAAATCCATGTCTATTATTCCACCAAGTCCAAATAATCTCTCATCGTTAAACACATCGAAAAAGAAGAGTAATTCGTCGCAGAAAACACTGCGTGAGATATGGCAAAATGCATTTCTAAAAGAAAAGTTGCCAGGAAAATCGGACCAGCAATCCACTTCGTCGCACTCAACGATGGCAGCAACTTCCTTTACGCGAAACTCATCGAAGAAATTAACGGATACAGAACATAAAAGTGTTTCTAGTGTTCCAGCTTCCATACCTACATCTTCCAAACAAAACAATACATCGACCGCATCTCGTGAAAAATGTGCTTCTTCGAGGAAGCAAGAAACATCATCAAAGTCAACGAGATCCAAATCTGAATTGTCTTTCACCGATACAAATTCTTCCGGTACCGCAAACATTAAAGAAACTATAGATAAGACTTTACTTCAACATAAAGACAGCACTGTGAAAAGTTCGGAAAAAGTCGGTGTAACTAAAAACGTCTTCAGGTGCAACGTGTGCAACGTTCATTTCGAGAACTACCGACAGCTGCAGATACATGAAACAAATTGTAACAATAGGCCTTTAGTGAAGACGAGATCGATTGAACCGAACCCTTCGGTTAGCAACGTGTCGAAACTCGCTATGGATCAAGTCAACAAGCACGAATCGAGGAAGTCGACATTGTCGAGATCACTACAGCATTCTTCCGTCAAGGATAAGGAAACAAAGTTGCCCTCAAATAAGATTGATCAATCTCTTGGCTTGAATAAACCGAAAATTACCTCATTCTCTTCACCGAAAGCAAGCACCGAAACTTTGTCGGTGAGAAAAATCAAGATCAAAAAATGTTTGTTAACCAAATTGGATCTAGACGCGCAAAGTAAAGAAAAACTTCAAAATACTTCTGTCGGAAGTGTCGGTAGCGTACAGTTAAAGTGCCCCGTTTGCTCTAACGTCTTCAAGAATTATGTACAGTGCTACAATCACTTGAAGAAACACTCGAATTTAAAACTTCGAAATGCGCATGAAAATTACAAGATGCAGTCTGTGGGCAATAAAAATAATGATAAGAATACGGAGAATTCGAAGATAGCCGAAGTAAGTTCAGAAAAAAGCGCCAATGTAATCGCCATCGATGAGCAAGAGAATATAAATAAACTACACGCGGTACCTCGCGTTCACGACAAAGTGTTAAACTCACCGGAAACGGAGAGCACGACGAAGCGAGAAGAACAGACGCTTTCTGCAGCGAGCAGTGCCGAGGGTGAGAAGAAAGGCCACTTCAAGATCTGCGAGTGCCACAAGACCGCCAAGACGAACGAGACCAACATTCAGATCGAGATAGTGATATCGTGCGACGTTTGTATGACACTGTTTCGACGTCACGATTGCTTCGAGGCGCACTATAAGCGCTCGAAGAAATGTATAAAGAATCGAAAACTCGGTAGAAAGCCGACGATTCTCTGCGGCAATTGCCACGAGACGTTCGACAGCGTACAGATAATGTGGCATCACCTGAAGACGTGGAGTCCCGAAATCAAGGGGATCTTTTCTTGCAACATATGCAAGGTGATGTTTCACGGACCCGGGCCGCACTTTTACAACCACTTTCACAACCACGTGTCGAAGCCGCGCTTCCTGGCCAGCCGCGTGTCGTTTCCGAAACGTTCTTACATCGGCGTGAAACTTGTCGAGCTGCCGACCGCGGACAGCACCGCTGCATGGGAAACTTACATCGAGATAGCCGACTACGTGTGCGAGAGGTGTAATGCGCCCTTCGTCGTGAAGCCGGATTTACTGGCGCATGAGAAGATCTGTCAAAGCAAGAATGTGAATATTTTGTTAATCTGCGGCTTCTGCAGTAAGACATTCTATGACAAAAAATTCTTCGAACAGCACTCGTTGGAGCACAAGACGAAGCAAGACATTCATTCGCGTGCATCTCGCGTGGCCGTCACCGCCCTCACAAGTGTGTTCATCTGCAAAGTGTGCATGGCCATGTCGAAGTCTCGAAAGATGTTCGAGGAGCACTGGCTGACTCACGGCCCGCTGCAGGAGGTTTACGTCTGTTCTCAGTGCAAGAATCACTTCGACACCGTCGACCTGTTCCAGGAACACGCGATCACACACATGAACAGTAGCAAGAAGCAGTCGATCACGTGCAAGGTGATCTTTCGCGACGTCGGCAATCAGAATTTTGAAAGGAATTCGCAGGACGCCGTCTTGGGCGGCGAAGATCCATCTCGCGCGAATTCGGATTGTTTCACGAGAGAGCAGTCGGCTGGGAGTGTCGCGAGTAATGAGTCGCGCGAGGAATCATCGGCGGCTCCCACATCGCTAAATGTACTCGGTAAGATGATCGACAAGATGGCGAAGAACATCGCGAGCAAAAGCGGCAGAGACATGCCGCAGATCGCCCCGACGCCATCGCAACGTGCGGGGAAACATAATAGCAGGGCCTGTGCGGAGGATTGCTCGAATAATGTTACAAACAAGAGTAACAGGAGTAAATTGGAGAATTTACTCGCTAGCTCGGAAAAGAAGAAACTGACGATTATGTCAGAGAGTGAAGAGAGTGTGAGCGAGATCCAAAAATATATTGAGTGCTCTGGCAAACTCGCACAAGAAAACGCTGCGAAGTCCAATTTTGCCGTGATTTCCGATGAGCAGGAACTTTCAAACGATCTGACTCTGATGATTCTTGAAACCTCCAGCATCGCGAGCGAAAACTCAAATTCTAACGAAAACAATAACAAAAATCCTTCGAGAGAATCAGTGAGACAACTGGACGGAAATATAAATGTTCTCGAAGATAACGAGACATCTGTCGGCGACAAGAATATCGAATTCTCAACGACGACGACGACGATGATGACGACAACGACAACGACGACGGCGGTGACAACGCCGACGACAGGGGATGATCATGCAATCAAGAGTAGCGTGGGATCACGCGATCAAGAGAGCCCAAGTCGTCCGGCAGCTTCAAATGCAAACGATTCGAATAAAAATTCCGAGAAATTGTTGCCGGAAAATGTTATGAGCGTCGTGCCCAAGTCCTTTTTGCGCGTGAAATCCTTGAAAGAGCTGCAAGCACTGACAAGCCCTCGCCACCAATGCCATTTATGCGACTTGCAGTTCGAATCTCCTACCAAATTGAACCAACACTCTCAGACGCACGTGTCGATGACTCAGCAGAATGATCAAACACGTTCGCTCAACAATACGCGGCCAAAGCCGGAATTTGATCCTTCGCTTGTGTCCATGCAAGTCCAGAGCCGTCCTCTTTACTCGACGATGTGCAGCAACGCGCCTCTGCCTAACAGCACATCTTCGTCTGGCGGCATACTTTTATCTCATGACGCGCCTGTCAACTCGCAGTCACTCAACCAAAAGGTCAACCAAAAGGTCAACCAAAAGGTTAACCAAAAGATCAACCGAAAGATCAAGCAACCCAAACGCTTAGCAAACGCGTTCACTAACGCGTACGGCGCGTCAGCGAACAATCCTGCAAAAGTCTCATCGAGTAGAGCCCAGAACCAGAGCGGATTCCAATCGTTAATGCCAGCGAGTAATTCTGTTTCCGCGCCACAGCAATTAAGGCAGTCGCAGCAATTGCAGCAACCACAGCAACCACAGCAGAGGCTACAGACGCCAGTCTATCATCAAAACTTGCCGTACTGCATCGCCCAACCGGTAAATCGAACTGGCCAACTTCTTCAGCAGCGACAGCAGCAGAACATCGGCACTGCGAATGTCAAACTGTTCACGCAGGCCGCTTATCAAGCAGCCAAGCCGCTGTATTTGCAGCAACAGCAGCAAAAGCAGGTAAACGATCTTGACTACTTAATGAACATGTCTCACTCGATGGCATCGAACAACATGATGCCAATGAACTCGGGCAACGTTATGTACCTGCCTCCAAACACGATGCAGCAGACACCGAGGGACCCGAGGAGCTGCTTCTCATACTATCCGAACTTTTAAGGTTACCGAAACAAGTTTAGAAGTTTTACACAAGTATTCACTGAAGCACTGGCACGCAGTTGTCACACAACAACTGTGTCTTACGTGCTTCGGCTGTTGATAATGATTACGTTCTGCACGTGAGATAAATTATTCAATTTTTGCTGCTGACTAGCCGCAGAAAAGAATTTTATATCAAATATCACTATGATACGACAGTAGCCGCGGATTATAAAAGCAATTATGAGTTTAAATACTGTGGCCATTATATGAAAAACATGGTAAAAATTTGTATTCAGTCCGCGGCTGCTTCTGTACAGAGTAATTTTTTATATAAAATTTTCTCCGTGTGTTTAAAGCAACGCCCGGAACACCTACAGTTTAGTCTTTGCGACTGAGATATAAGTCTGTATTCTATTTGTTAATATATGTATATTAAATTTTCAATTAGAATTTCAGTATATTTAATCCAATCGCGAGCGCAATTGATACAATTGATACAATTGATACCTTTAAAAGCTGTATATATAATATATATATAATCTAACTGATATATATAACAATACTCCAACTGAAAAAAATATTCACATTTTGCTTGTTAAATATTTGTGTAAACTATATAAACTTTTTGAGAATTACCAAAATTTATTTCTATGTGTGTTATATTTTTAATTTTTTGATGTTTATTAATTAAACGCTGGTACTATTGTTTAGAGTATCAAAACGGAATATATACACGCCATAAATATATACGAGTTTTCAATGTAATTATAATTATATAATGAATGCATTGTGAAGAATCTGATCACTGAAGAGAAAAAGAAATCTTCAATTTTGCTGCTCTAATAAAATAATACTTATAGTCAGTTCAAGATCTGTTTTAAGCTCTAGTTATATTTAATTTTACACATTTGGACTTATTCGTATATTACACATATATATAAGTCCAAATGTGTAAAATTAACTAAAACAGATAAATGATTAGCAACTGTTGTGATATTGCATATGTAATTACTTAATCAGTTTAGATGACAGAAACAGAATATATATCTGTATTGTTTGTGAACTTTAAAAAGAAAGTTGAGAAACTTTCTTATATAAATAGGCGCTTTAGAGATAAAGCGCCTATTTATATAAGATCAATCACGTCTTAGATCATGCAATGAATAACATTTAGCAATGGTATCTAAATTTTTCAGAAGCTATTGCTAGAACATTACTGCTATAAATTCTATATGTGACAAACAATGTTTTCACAGATACGAAAAGTAGCGATACATTCTTGTTGCGATATCTAGAAATCTAACTACATCAGCGAAATATTTTTTTGAGTGTAGAGCAACGGAATTGAAGACTTCTTTTTCTCTTCAGTGATCAGATTCTTCACAATGCATTCATTATATAATTATAATTACATTGAAAACTCGCATACCTATATTTATGGCGTATATATATTCCGTTTTAGTGATACTCTAAACCAGGGATACGCAACTGGCGGCTCGCGGGCCGCATTCGGTCCTCGATCAAAGCTGCCAGTCTGGCAACTCTGCCCGTGACGTTCAAGCTTGACCTCCAGAAAGAAAGAAAAATAAACTGAATTATTAAAGCACAGCGCCGAATTGTTTTTTTACTTTTACATATAAATTATTTTTTATCGGAGCGTATTTTCGAATGACAAACGTTACAAGAGAAAATTTTTTTCTATAAAAAATGCGTGCATGTAGGAAACAATATTGTTGCATCCTCAAAATCGTTTAGATAGTTGAGTTCCTTTTTTATTTTTTATTTTGTTTGCTGATCTTTTTGTGGCCCACTATGTTACCTCTAATTTGACATTTGGCCCCCTAAAACATCTAGTTGCGTTTTCTTGCTCTAAACAATAGTACCAGTGTTTAATTAATGAACATAAAAAAATTTTAAATATAACATAAAAATAAATTTTGGTAATTCTCAAAAAGTTTACACAAATATTTAACAAGTAAAATGTGAATATTTTCCATGAAATTATAATTTTTAGCGATAAGTAATTTCGACACCTTAAATTCAAAATCTTGTATCTCGAATTTTTAACCAATTTTTATTTTACTTTTTCTGTCATAATATTATTATTTTCTATGTATCAAATGTTTTTTGAAGTAATTTCAAAAACTTATTTATTAATAACTTACAATTATTTTAAATTTAGAGTTTGACAAATTAATTCCAATATATAAATAAATAAGCAATTTGTAACATCTATAAAGCTTGGATTTTTACAAGGTTTTAGATTTAAGGTATCAATTTTTGTATTTTTAGAACATATGTCAGAAATACATTCTTATTAATATTATTAATTTGTTTCTCGAAAGAAGCAAGTTTATTTTTAATAAGCCTTCAAAGTCGTTGCAGTGAACGGTGGCCTTAGTAAAGTAAAAAAATAAATCTCAAAACTTTTCTGTTTATTTATCGTTAAAGATTCGGCTGAACGCTATGAGCGCTGTTACTGTTAATGTTTCTTTTCATATATATTAAAAAAAATAAAGACACTTGTCTGATAATACATATGTAATACTGTGCAACAAATTTAAAAATTAAGGAATTTTGTTTGTAGTTTAATTTTATTATTAGTGATATATATTATTTGTAGGTTTGTTTGCAAGCAACTTTTTATTGGTTATAATTTTGTAAAAAAATTATAAATTATATTAAATGGCTGACTTCAATGTTATTATTATAATTTATTTCTATCATTAAGATCTCTAGATCTTTGTTCAATAATCTGTACTTTATGTTTATAATATTTTGTTTTACTTTTGACAACATAATTTAGTTATGGTTTAGTTATTTATAGCAAAATTATTTCACCATATAATGTTATTTTAGTCTGTGATTGCAACTACGAATCTTTTCAAACACGGTCGCTATTAATTACATTGAAGAAAGCTATTTAATTAATTTTTTAAATTGAAAGTTGCGTGTGTCTTTTGGTAAATATTATTGCAAATAATTATGTGACACTTGCATGTATATGTAACATTATTACATTTTAATAAATCTATTTTAATAAATACAATGAATTAAGTATGATTGTAAAATAGATATGCTCTTGAAGAAATATTTTTTTGTGACTTACGTTCGTCTCCTTTATTCGGCACTTGAGCGACATCGTTCCTTACAATGATTATTATCCTAGCGATTTTGTGACAAATACTGCGATAATATTGTAATGACTATTATTAATGCGGGTGATTTACAATGACGAAAATATCTACAACAAAACAATTTCTTATCTAATTTTCATGAAATCTATTGAGAACGTTTTGAATTAATATCATTTATTTGTTTAGAAAATATTTTCAACGCGAATAAAATTTAATCGGGATAATGTTGACAGATAAATATTCGAATTAAAAGATGCCTCACAGATTTTCTGTTTTTCGTATAAAGTAAAATTTTTTTTTTACATTATCTCGGTGAAATTTTATTTGTGTTAAAAAATTTTTATACAGAATCCATCTCAGATATTTTCGTCAAATTTTGTGAAAGAAAGGAAGATAAGACATTTTCGCAAACTTTATTGCAAATTTCGGACGTCAACTCTTTCCTATCATAATGAACAATTCTTATATTAAGGCAAGCTTACGTGACTAACTTGTACATCGGCTGACCGTATTTGCCGCAAAGATTCAAGAGCCGATTCATATAATTGTTATTAAATTTTGTCTATTCCTCCAAATTTTATGTTTTCTCGAATCGCTTTTACATTTTTAAAAGTTTTTTTTCCGTCATTTTCCGAGAAATTTGTTTCAATATTTTAATTTTTAGTTTTGCGGAGAAGAAATTACGTGATCAATCTTGAATGTATTAGCATTAGACAGTAATTAATTATTTTTCTGATTAATTTTGCAACCTGTTCACAGTAATAATAATTAAAATAATACGTAGTTAAATGATCACACGTCATTGATTATTAGCTGCATAAATTGTGACTTGTAATTATTAAGCAATTTATGATTTTTAATAATTAGAAATTGATAATTATCAAATTACATGCTGATACACACTGGTTTCGCAAATGGAAAAATTATAATTAAATGTAATAATTATTATTTCGCCAATGATTGATATCATATTCACAACCGATAGTTATTCTATAATCTCAATTAATTATTTATTAATCTGGACTTACTAATTATTTAGTGACTAGTCGGAATCATTAATTGCTAATTTGATTATTTATTAGTTAATTCAATTTGATCGAACTCTACTGCACATGAATATATCTTACATCAACTGTCGCGTTTACATTATCGGGAAGAAAATCCGTTTCCTACATCGAAATTCGAGCGTGCTGAAATTAGACTTACATAAAACTTTTGAATTGGATCTTCCTCGACGCAAATTATCGGCACGGTCATGCCAATGGCATTTTTTTATCTTACGTTTTGGCACATAATTCACGTTGCACAATATCGATTGCGTATCTATCCGTTAAACGAGTACTTTTGTCGCACTACTTATTAATTATATATGTTATATAATATGATATAGGTATAAAGTGGACATTACAAAGGGTACTTTTTTACAAAAGCTCCGATGGTCGCATATGCATACAAACTCGAAAAAAGTGGCTTTTGAAGTTTCGAGAGAAAATAGATACGAGATATTCTATGTTCACTGCGTTCTCTGCAACGCAAGTATGAAGAATCATCATATAAAAATAATAAATTATTACGGAAATATTATGGAGATATCAAATTATGATGTGGAAGAAGAGATAAAGTCTTTTACAAGAGTGACTTCGTATTGACATCCGCAAAAATCAATACGTTTAAAATACCACTGCAAATAGTTACGTCCGTTTGTGCGATACACAGAGTTATTAAGATTAATATGTGATTTCTACAAGGAAATATTTAGGAAATGAGGACACGTTTTGCGATCATCGAATCGTAAATTACTCTATCTTAAAGAATTAAGTACTACTAGGAAGGACTTTCGCCAAGTCTTTCACGAGTCGATTAAGTCGAATGCTCGTCCTTAAATTTAATAATACTGATGCAGGTATTCGATGTTCACCTTTTCATCGTCCCTTATTTTATATCTTGTTTGTGTTACAAAAGAGAGAGAGCCTAAAAAGTGATTCGTCGAGTATAAAGTTTTATACTTTAAGTACTACGCGATTGCGTCTCGTTTATTTTAGACGTTTTATAATTCTAGAGTTCGAGATACAATTCTATTTATAATTTTATGTGTTTGTCTAATGCAAAAAATTTTTGCAAAATGAGAATACACGCTGGTACAAAATATATATCAGTGATATGCATTTTATAGGCGTGGATCCCGATTCTTCAAGTATTTTTTTATTACATAAAATTATAAACAGATTTGTATTTTAATTTCGATCGCAAACTATAGATCGCTCAAAGCGATCTTTACTTTCTAATACTGAATAATTATTTACAGTGTAGGAAAAGGGTATAAATTAATGGCCATACAAGAATGACAATGTAGATATTTCGACGCGTGATTTTGTTCACATGTTTCTTTCGTGATCAACACTTATTGTTAATCTAGCTGTTTCTTACGTCTATGCTTATCTTACGCTAGCCAAAATGCAGTAACGTATTCCGATTAATAAATAATACTTTTAATAAAACTGCAGCTGCAACTTGCAAGTGTCACTGATTATTCTGCTGGTTTTATTTACACCTGATAAATTTCTATGTCCTGTAAAAATTAACAGAAGCAATAATTGATAGATATATAATTGCGTCGCGTATAAATTCATGTTACACTTATCTTACCACAGCTCGGGCGATGGAAAAGGTATTTTTACTATCTACGAAATTCTGTTTCAAGATACAAAAGTGTCCCGTTATATTTACATCGTGCGATTATCTAAATATCATTTACTCTTTCTAGATACAGTATTGAGCTCGAGGGGAATCGCTTCCCCGTTAATGTAACATCGATTAATCGTAAGTAGTTGTACAGTAATGCTACGGGTATAACGAGATATATCGTGTCGGTGGAAAAATATCGTACTTTCTTGTCGATATATCATAAATTTGCATACGTGACACTTTTTTGGACGTTCCGTTTCACCAACGACTCAAGCTCCGCGATGGAGAATTCAGCGTTGCGTTTTCCTTTCACGATTGCGCTTGCCAGATCGTATTTGTTTTCTAACTTAGACTTAAATAATAAACATTATTTGCGTCAGTGCATATTGCATTACCCTTGGCGTCACATTTATCTCCTCGCATAAACATGACGCCAAGTATAACGTTAGAGAGAAGCGCCTTCAACTAGGAGTCTTTCTCTCATTAAGAATCTGAAATCGTTATAAATGTGCATCAAAATTCCTTTCGTTTGTGTGCGCAGGTGTGTATAGAAAAATTAAATACACATTTAATATTATCAAGTATTCGAATTAGCCGAGCTCTCAATTTTTCTAATAAAACGAGAAAATCGTCATTTCATTCATTCAAGTGGAATGTTGCGAAGTAGGAGATTTTCTGCAATTTGTACAAAATTGATTAGGTATATCATCTATGAGCTATTGGTTCCGTATATAGTTGTCAGTCTGAAGATTGCTAAATGGGTTCTCTAAATACTGTAAAATACTGTATCTATTCTTGCATCAATATACGGCGCGCTCGTCTTGATCAATAATTACATTGACGGTGGCTCTAGCAATCTCATTTTTACAATATAGTTCCCGAGCTATTGATAGATTAGCTCTGTCGACCGCCGTATTTCATTGAATCGATAGTATTAGTAATATAATACAAGAAGTGATAAATTTCCTTACAAAGTAACTTTCATAAGACTGTGATATACTTCTCTCTCTCTTATTCACTTGGCCACTTATTCACGACAATGATGAACATATTGAAATAATAGTTCGTGAGATTTCATGATATTGACGCCAACGTGAACGTTAATTACGAAAACCAACGAATGAAAGATTTTGCTTAGTTCTTGCTCAAAAAATTCTGATTTATGGAACTCATCGAACAACAAAACCGCATAATAATCAAGCACGCCAAGAGGGCACGCCAGGATGGGGCGGGTTTTATGATTGTCCTTGTTGTTTCCTGTTTTCAAATATGCTTTGTCTTCGAACGGAGATATCATAAAAGAACAGAACAAAAGAAAGCAGTACTTTTGGGCCTGCCGAGCGAAGAGGCCTCTTCTAAGAGAAATTCATCAAAAAATCGCGATTTTTTAATCCTATCGACTTTACGCTCTGCTGATGATCGACTTCAGAAATTCTGGTATTAAAAATAAAACTCAAAAGCGATAGATATCTTGTGCCAATCAAACGAACTAATTTCAATCCTTCCGCAATCGGCCTGTACATTTCGCTCTCGGGCCCGAAAGTGCTACAGCTTAGAACCTGCTGACGGCTTCGTCGTCGGTGACGAAGTAGTTGGAGCTTTTCGCCGTCGAATTGTACATGCCGTAAGTAGGACTGCAAACAATCAAGTTACTCGTGTTGCTGAGCTCAGTTTCGTTCGTCATCGACGAGTGCCTGCCGATGGTGGCCAATCTCTTGTCCTTCTTCGCCAAGGTCATGCGGCAGTCCTCCGGTCTTAGCGGCATCGACGGATAATTCGGCTGCCTGGCGAGCGTCGTCAGCGTTCGGTCTCCCGTGTCGTTGAAGCTGCGCAAACGTTTGAAAGCATGATCGGAGAGAGTGTTCAATGATTGGGCCTTTCGTGCCAGATGTTAAATTAACTCCGGAAAATAAGTATTGAAGTTGTAATATTTAGTATTCAGGTTGTAATACTGAGTATTGAGAGTTAATATTGGTCAATACTAAAGTATTGAGTGAGTTAAGTATTGATGAATACTGAGTATTGACAGTCAGTATTGGTGAATATTAAGTATTGAACTAGTAGTCAATACTTAAGTATTAAGGGAGGTTAAGTATTGACGAATACTTACTATTGCATCTACTATATACAGGGTGTTTCAGATCAAACGCAGGTCCTTGAAGGGGTGGATAGATCTCGATAACGTGAGTAAAAAATGTCTGTACAAGAAAATTGTGAGATCAATAGTTTTTGAATAAAATGCATTTGAAGTTAACCAATCACGGGGTTCGCATTTCGCGCCGTCAGGAGCAGCGCGGCATGAATCATTCTCGTTTGCAATACATTCTGCCACATCAATTACATATTGTTTAGAAATTATTATTAACACTATCATATTAGTAAATATTAAAATAAAACTCAATTGTTTTAAACAATCGCTTGTGTATAAGAAATAAATTCTTCTGACGGCGCAAAATGCGAACCCCGTGATTGGTTAACTTCAAATGCATTTTATTCAAAAACTATTGACCTCACAATTTTCTTGTACGGACATTTTTTACTCACGTTATCGAGATCTATCCATCCCTTTAAGGACCTGCGTTTGATCTGAAACACTCTGTATAGAGTTGCAATAATAAGTATTCGTCAATACTAGTACTAAGTATTCCCCAAAAAAGTATTGGCCAATTTACTATTGATCAATACTAAGTATTGAGAGTTGATGGAAATATTTTGCTGAAAGTACTATGAAATCAATGAAAAGCGAAATAAAAGTTTTTGAAAAATTACTGAATATATTTCAAAATAAATCATAACTTTCCGTATGAAAATTTAATGTAATACTATGAAATATAAGGAAAGTTAAAATATACTGCTGAAAAGTAATAAAAGAGTTTTGAAATAATTATCATTATGAAATTTACTGAATTAAACTGCAAACTGTTACTTTTTAATAAAAAATTGCTGAAATATTTATGAAATTAATTAATGGGGTCAATTGAGAGAGATTTTCAAATACATTTCAGCAAAATTTCGTAATATTTTCAGAAGAATATTTCCATCAGCTAGCTCAATACTTTTCATAAGGGAATTTTTGTCGAGAGAATTTACTGACAGATCACTCGCTAAGAAGCATTCAACCTCGCATTCCCTCATTGATACCTGTGATGTCGCACGATGCCTCTCTTTATCTTGCAGTGCTCGTTCCCGCCTTGCCCTTCAGTCGCGGTTCCATGGGTCTTGCAAGCTTCCACCCCCATCGACGGTACGGGGGACAAGGAACCTGGACCGTATGAGCCGCTGCTTTGTCTTCTGTCCAGAATGTTGACTAATTCCACCGACGGTGTCGGCGAGAATGTGCCCTGAAGATACGCGACACAAAACGCCGTCTTATGGGAATTTTATACGAAAAATCGTGGGTGAAAAGTATTGGGAAATCTATTCACATATGTACGAGGATCTTGTGGAATTCTGAGAAACTTTCCCTTTAGTCCTCGTTACTTTTATCAACAAATAATTATAACGAGTAACAAAACAAATGCGTAAAATAATAATCCACACAATCAACGATTTTTCCACGTTTGTATATTATATGTATAATTCAGTCTTGCTGCAGCAATGGAAATAAATCCTCGAAAATTTTAACAGAATCGTACATATTTGTAACATAATATGCAAAATAATGTGTGCATGCTAAAATAATGATGTTGTTGATGTTGTTCAAGCAAAATAAAAAGAAGTATTAAAAAGTCTTCATTGTATATGCCAAAATTTCTAGGTTTGGAGTCTTGTGGGACAAGAAGTTTTATTTTTATTAACGAAAGTAGTACAGCTAAGCGAATTTTCAGACATAAAATTCTGATGGGGAAAGGAGGATCTTTCGGAAATTCTTTCAGGATTCTTTTCAGGGAAAGAAAAAAAAGAAGATAAGGGGAAGGGAAGGAGACACATACTCAGAAAAATTTTCAAAACGTGAAGACAAAGGAACGCAAAATGAAAAGCAACTCAAGGATGAGACCATCACATCAACGTTGTTGATATTTTGGGTAAATAAAAAATTTCCTTCTCAAATAAGACATCTTGTGTGCGTGTGTATGTATGTAAATATAATTATATATAATATAATTGTATATAAACAAGTATATAGAATTTAATTAAACTATCAAATTAAAATTAAACGATTTATTACATAATAATAACTAAAAATACAAAACAAAATGCGTATAAAATTAAACGAAGATTTTCCGCGGCTTTCGCAGATTTCATAAAGACGACGATTCGTTGAGCTCGTCGTCCCTCACCTGCAGCGAGGGCCTCCGCAGCGTGCCGCCCTCCATACCGACCAGCTTCACCCCCTTTACGTTCTTCTTCGGACCTACGCTGGCAGGCGGGTTCTCCTGAGCGTTTAGATTGTACTCTGCATTGTTCCTGTCGACGATGCTGACCCTGTCGCCGTCCCGCGGCTTCTCGCTCGGGCCGAGCTCGCAGCCTACCTTGGCGTACGACGGTGCGCACGGCGTGATTGACGGCGTCGCCGGGATGCCGACGATCGACCGGGTGGGCGAGAGGACCTGGCCGATCGACCGGGTGGGCGAGAGCACCTGGCCGGCAGTCCGCAGATTCCTCACTCCGATGATTTGACCTCTGCACATGTCGCTCTGCATCGGCTCGTACTGCCTCGCCGTGGGAGTGGCGCACGCGACGTGTCGCGCCGGTGTCTGCATTCGCAGATTTTGCAGATTCTGCAGATTGTGATTCGCCCTTTGCACGGCCGATATGTTGATGCACTTCACCTTCGACAATTCGGCGAGATCGCCGCCGTCGTCGTCCTCGTGGCTGCAAGTTCTGTCATCGTCGTAAGCGCACGTGCCGATGCCGTCGCACGAGTCTATCCCTGAAGTCGATTTCTGAAAGAGATCGTCAGATCAATCAAATGGCGCTCAAGCGTGTGAAATAAAATTGTTTAAATATATTTGCGCTTGAACGATTATCGAAGGGAATGTTTCCTTATCTGCGATTTGTATTAATTACCGAGGACGAATCCATGAGAGCGGCGCCGGAGCTACTTTGCACGACTCCGGACGGCTCTTTCGACTTTCCGGGCGAGTAGATGCTTAGCACGTCGCAACATTCTGGAAAGTAACCTTTGCCGAGTAGATTCCGGGCGAGAAAGCTAGTGAAAAACTGAGTGAAGAGAGCGATTATCATGATGGCGCTGCGAAAGGGAAACTTCTGGGTACGTGTCTTCGTATCGTAGAACGGATATTCGATCAATGGACGTATGCCGAGTTCTCTTTCACCACCTGAAAGTATTTACGCTTAAATTACTATTTTTTTTAAATTTAACAAACTTGATAAATAATAAAAATCCAGAGAATATCTAAAAGAGTCCAGAATATTTTAAAAATATATTAAAAAAAACGTTCGAGAAAGGAAGAATTTCGTTTTTTCATCGCTGTCGTCAAGAATTAAAAACCATCACTGACCAGCGAGACGCAGAATGATAGCGATGAAGTATCCCGCCAGACAGCCGTAAGTGTCCACCATAGAGGGCCAGTGGATGACGGCTAATAATTGCGGGAACAGAACGACGTAGACGAGATCGGAGCACAAATACCTGCGAACAAGTATGATGCATTTTTATACATCGATTATTGCTGTTAAGATTAAAAGTTGCAGCTGGTAAACACGCTGGAACTTGGAATAATGAGGAAGTCAGACGCCTTTACTCACGAGAGGTAATAAACGCTGCTGACTGTGAGAGCAACAAGAGTGGACAGTATGGAGACTACAATTACGGAAACCCTCAGGACCCAGTTCAGTTCACGCTCGGACGCCTGTAACAAAAAGCAAGCTTTAATGACGCTTGTTGGCGCGTGTTGCTTAACTAGCAACAGTTACACTTACTTTCGGCCGTATCGTGAGTTTGTACACATTTCTGGTAAACATGGAGCTGCTGGCGAGTATACTGGAATCCGCCGAGGACATCACCGCCGCCGATATTGCGCCGAGGCCTTGAGTTTAACAGCAGAACGCAAATTTAAATATACTCTTTCTCGAAAGCGGAATATGCAGTTTCAATATTGATAATAAAATCGGTTATTGATTTCAAGTCAAGCGAATATTTACGGAACGCAGAAAAGTATAGATAGTCGATATCCTTGTCGTAATGAGACCCACCAAGAAAGGAGACCCATTGAGGCGTGAGATATCGCAAGACCATCGGCAAAGCGGCATTTCCATCGTCCGTGGAAAATGTTTTATTATATCCTGGAACTGCGGACCAATCGGTGGCGCGAGCCACCACCCCGATGAAGGCTGACGGCACCGCGAGTATCAGGCAGCCGAACATCGATGCTATTGATAGTGTCGTTGCAACGGAAGTGCTCTTGATGCTTAGGATTCGTTGAAAGTAACCCTGAAGAAAAGGAGAGAACCATGTGCGTTATACGTTTCCGGCGACACAAATCTTTAGAAAGTGGGAAGAAATTAATTATAATTATTCACATAATAATAATTTTCTCGTGAAACAATTCTTTGTAATGCCAGACTCAAAGCTGCGGTTTGTTTAGCTTGGAAATAAGTCAGGTCCATCGTTCGGAGTAACAAACAATTTATCACCTGATAAGGTATACCGCCGAACACCAGCAGCAGCATACCGTCCACCCATTCGCCCAGATCCTCATCCTTCACGTGTCCCAGCCAGTCTCTGGTAGTCAGATTATTCTCGAATGATACCGCGGGATGAAACATGGAGAACGGCGCGGCTATCGCTAAACCCATTAAAATGCACAGCAGCTGAAGCGCGTCGGTGCAGGCCACGGAATACAATCCGCCGAAAACAGTGTATCTGAAAACAACGTGTCCCATTTGTAATTCTGATTAGCGGACAATTGGCGTTGCAGGACACTTATTTATAATAAACAACAATTACTCATAAGCAGAAAGCTGCTTTGTGTAAGATCTGATAGTTTGGTGATAAAAACGATTTTTTTTATCATTCATTCATACTTTAATATCTTTTTTTGCTTATCTCTTTAAACTTTTTTGTTGTGTTGTTGTTTTTGATCCTATATTTAGTTAAATTTCTTCTTACACGGCCGCCAAGAGTGCTGATGCACAAATGCTGATGTTCGGATCGATGCCGGCGACGACGGCCAGCGAGCTGCCCAGCGCTCTCAAAACGGCGCCGCACCAGAATAAATCGCCGCACAGTGCTGGAAGGAAGAGCAAGCCACCAATGCCCGCGCCGTATCGTTCTTGAAAGGGATCCAGCATCGTCACGTACTCGGCCTTTCTCATCGGACGCACGAAGAGCATGGCGCCTAAACATGCACGTCATCGATTTTCATCAATCTCTACGTCGTTTTACATGTAACATCTGTGTGATGTAATATCTGCACATTTGTTTACCGAAAAGTAAACTGAGGCTGTATCCGATGGGCACTTGACACCAGGCCAGACCCTTCGTGAACATGGCTTCAGCGGTGCCGTTGACGAAGGCACCTCCGACCCATGTCGCTGCACATCAAAAAAATATGCGTATGTACGAAGATATTTTTTTGCAGAATTATCTCAAGCTCTCTTCGGAGTGTATCATAGCGTAAAATGTATTGCACCAGTTTTCTACGTATAAATGAGGCTAATACTACTGTGTAGTATATTATCTCTTCCGCGTATCTTGTTATTCATTTATACTGCGAAAGATAGAAAGGAAATGAGGAAGATGAGCGGAGTCGATGAGAGGACACTCGACGTTTTTCCTGTGATTTCATGTCTGTTCATCATGATAATGGAGGATGCATAAGCTACAAAGTGATTCAGCAGGGGAGATGAATGAGAGAATCGGAAATTGAATGAAAACGGAAATGTAAGGTGCAAAAGTAAATCCTGCAAAATGTGAGTTAATTGAAAGAAATTGATGAATACCTGGCTTTCGCAAAGTTGCAAATTCTTCTTCAAAGTCGAAGTTGTATCATAAAATCGAAAATAGCAAAGAGGTTAGAGCGAATCAATTTTGTATAAGACAACCGACGAAAATTCAACGCTTTCTACCTACGATGTTACCTTTTACGATGCCATGTATTTGACACGTGTCGATATCGAGGAGAAAATAAACTCGGAGCACGCGAGCACTTTTCGCGGTGTAATTTTGTAAAATTTGATGGAAAATTTTACGAACTTGGAAAGAGAGAGAGAGGCGTTTCGGGGATCGTTCGTGTGCGGTAGCTCATAGCTAGATTATCGGTTCCACGTAGTGAGTTTAATTACTGCAAAAGGCGAACATCTGATTGTGTCAAGCAACAGCAAGTTTTTATAAATTTCCATCTTTAAAAATTAATTTATACATTTTTAAACTTTATTTTCAGTTCTAAATGATTGACTTTTCACAAATTAATCTAGATGTGCAACTAAATGCATCAAATTACAGAGTTTTATTCTTCATGTAATTTAACAATGTTTAAATAAAATTTTAATATATGACACTTAATATATTAAATACTAAAATTGGAAAATAAAAAATAGTTGAATCTAATTAAATTTTTGTTAAAAAACTTACTTTTATTTAATTAAAGAATAGAATTTGTACGTGTAATTTTATAGCGTTCTCTATTAATATTCACACACAACTCTGATATCAGATAGATTGGTCCTTGACCTCGCTGACCTTTTGAAACGTTTATTGAAAGCAGGAAGTCTGTAAAGCGCATAACAGCTCTGCTTTAATTCTAATCAAGGCTAAATATTGCGCGGCAAAAGGTTTGCTGGCGTAGACTATCTCATGTTAACTTTGATAACAAATCTCGTTTGTTATCATATTTATATAAAAATAGTAAACGCACGCGTTAAGACTGCTAATTTTAGCTACTAAAAATAACTTTACACTGCATGAATCTGCAAATTAGCAAATTTATTGCTAATTTATTGCGAATTATTCTTATTCTGTCGTTAAAATAATCACGTTTTTACAGTATAATATATTTACTAACAATGGACTCTGATTTGTTTCAATAGCAAATTAAATTAGAGCTTTAGCAGCAAGGATGCACTTCTCACAAAGAAATATATTAAACAAGATTTTATCATTTTATCAACAAAAGAATTTTATATAATATATTAAATGGCTTAGAAGAGAAATTTAATTTTATTCAATTAATATAAATTTAATTAGATTTTATTTCCTAATTTCAGCATTTAGTCGTAATATTGAGTGATCGATCAAAATTGAATTATCAAATATGCAGTGGAAAGGATCTGCGGCAGCTAGATTCATTTATACGTTTATGATTTACGGGGATAATTACCAACGAGCGTAAAGACGCCGAGCAAGGGACCGAGCGCGCGATTTGCCAACATCATGTCTTCTTGTCCTTGTGCGGCCTTTTTCCTCCTGAATGCGGCAGCCCATATGCCGACGGCGAGCACCGCGATGTAAAACACGACCACGCCAATCACACCCGTTACGTACATTCCCATCCTTTCCGTGTTGTGCGTGTCTGCTTCCGGATGTAAACCCTGCAAACTGAATAATTGGTGATAAAAGCAACAGTGATATCAAATGTCTACAGATTTTTCTACGCTATTGCAGTAGAGACACATATTTTTCCAAAGAATATTAAATCAAGTTTATATTTGTCAACTGCGTTGGAATGAAAATCCGTACACGTAGTCAATAAATTTAATACGTTCACTGAGCTTGAACAGAACAGTTTATTTATTACACAAAACAAAAGTCCGATTGTGCGATTAGTTACAAAAGGAAAAAACTGCGGATTAACGATAACAAAAGGAAATCACGTACGATCGCAATTCGTGTAATGAATCTTCTCTATCTATCCCTCTTGTGTCTCCCACTCTTTCTCTTTTCGTCTCTCATCAACACAACAGCACGATGTCCACACATAAACAATTTCAAATTGGCAAATCACACTACCAATGAGCAGTGTTTCCATTATTTTGTATATTCACGATTGATCTTACTGTAAATAACTACTATTAGTCTTTTTACATTGATACAAATAAACTAAAGAGGATCAAAAACCTATGCAGAATTTTGGTTGCAATGTTGCAATCTTCTTTATTCAAAATGTTCAAAAGTGAACGTTTCGATCGAACTTTCAACCATCTTCAAAAATTGGTTTAATAGTAAGAAACAAAGATATATATATATATATATATATAAGGTCAGAAAAATTAAATTTATAAAAAAAAAGTCTAAATGCAATATTAATAAAAAATTCTACCAGAAAGTGACATACCTTATTAAATATCAGAATAAAAACGTAGTAACTTCAACAATGAAGCAATTCATTGTACAAGATTTGATAAGCTTCCAATGAAAAAGTCTAAAAAAGCAACACCTAATCATTAGTCATATAAATTATACCAAAAATTCGAGTTGATGTTGTCACTCAGAACTACTGTGACCGACTGCGAGTGGTATTAGATAGAGATAGTCGAGAAGAAAGGAGAGAAATTATATACAATTGACCATGCAAATAAAGTTTATTATATTGACCTTACAGATAATAAAGCCAAATTATAAAATGTTTACTTTTTTATAGCAGCAATTCATTCCTCAATCATTAAAACTGTGACAAGTATTTTGAACTTGTTCAATAAACAATTTCGACAAAGAAACGTTTCAGATGTCGTTTATCATTGGTGACACAACATGATGTGCCAATAACATCATAACACCATAACAACGCTCTAATAGCTTTAACGACCGGATATACGTAGTTACATATAAGATTCTTCATATGGGATTATAGGTATGTATTTTACGTGTGATATCCCGAAGGTTGGCAGTACATTTCGCAAAGTGTTTACGCATCTAAACATTTTATTATGCCGATAATTGTATTTGCAGTTTACTATTAACGTGTATATTTAACAAGCCTAATAATAGTTATTACATATGCGAAACGGTCGGAGAAACATGGTGGGAAGTGCGGATTAATCGGATGTAAAGCCGCGCGCACTCGCGATCAATACCGCATTAATTATTCTGTCTCCTTGATTAACATCTCCGTACAAATAAGCCCGCATACGTACGTCTCTGCTCATTAGTCGATACAAAAAGCTCCCGTCCTTTGAGTATATTTAGAAATCGATATCCGCGTATTACGAGCTTGTGACGGAGAAAAGCGATAAGTCCAAAAAAAAGTGAATAATTAATATTATCAAACGTAGGGTATTTATACGTCATTGAGTGGTCATTAAGTTGTCATTAAGTTGAACAAAATTTTCGATTTGTTTGTGAATGTATAGAAAACTTCTAAACAATTTTTTTTTTTTTACAATAATGCGCTTTAAATCTCTGTAAAGCAGTGAAATATCTACGATTATTCATTTGTCTCATCGATTTTTGTAGCTCACTTTTTCAGTTTACATTTTATACTTTATGCTTTATAGTTACTGAAATACGAGCAACGTTTTTCTTTTTATAAAAGATAATATAAAAAGAATCATGTGACGTTGGCGCGCTGACGCGTTTTCTCCGAGATCCAGAGCCCGTTCAGCTGCACCCGACAACTCTGACCGATGACATACAGGATGACATTTACTATCGAGCACATTTCGTGGGAGTCTGCGCCAAAGCAAGCTCGGCACGGAAAGGACTAATCAAGCGTGACAGCAATTGTAACGCGGTTTAAAATTCAAGTGTGCCCCAGATATCGGACAGGATGGGTCGTAGGGTCATGACCTGTGCAAGCGTGGCGCTCACCAAGTCGCGTAAAGTTCAACTCGAATTCATCCAGCGAATTCCGAAACGGTCTTATACATTATTAACTCGCGCGAGAGACGGTTCTTTCTGGAGTGAAAAACTGACAACTCGCGCACAAGTCTGTACGTGCGCACATCACATGCTCAGAAAAAATTTTCTATCGTCATAGACGAGCATAGAACTAAATTTACTCAAACTGTTCGTTTACGATATAGAAGCTATATGTGTCAAGTGGCGAACTTAAAGCATGAAATATGTATCGAGGCGTCGATATCAGCCCTTAAACACGTTCGGAACGTGCTTGTAACGTTTTACGTGAAATTTTTACATAGTTTATAAAATAGAAATAAAACTAGAATTTTAATGGAAAGTAAAGTTTTCATAAAATATATCGAATATTATTAAAACAATAAAACAAATAATATTTTTTTGCACAAATAGAGTAGTTTCAAATTCATAGTATAAAAGTATTGAATTACAAAATACCTTTGGAGACAACTATTGAATTGAATCGAATGCTTTAGTAAATCAGACACGTAGAACCGCTTATTGTCAAATTAAATTATTAAAGTTGTTCGTTCTACATGCGCGCGCACCATTTAGCCATTTGTTTTTACTTTCTCGCAGTTCGAAAACTATCGGCATGTCTCTTTTAAAAGTTGCGCTTTTACACGCGTACGTGAACTGTTTTAGAATACAGTCGCATTTGTTGATCTATTTAACATTCATGCTGTGTAGCACACACACAGTTACGCACTTATACTTCAATAATCAATAAGCATGCTCGATTACACAAGATGGTTTCATTACAAAATGACTGAAGGTCTGCATGTGTAAATGTGTGAAAAAAATGGCATGTTAAAAAAAAGACCATAAAAATTGAAAATATATCTTTTTCCAATTTAGAATATATTATATTTTGTACTTATACTTCGGAACATATTAATAATATTTGTGTATTAGCAATCTCTCTACAAATATTTTCACGAATCAAGCTATGAGGAGAAAAATAAATTATGAAATCTTGCTGTCGACGGAATTTAAAGTATTTGTACCTGACTTTAGCGAAATTATTATTTAACAATGAGCTTTAATCGCAAAAATATTTCATATGCAATATTGAATATTAGAAAATTATGAAAAGGTAGTGTTTGATGAAATTTTCCATAAAAACAAAAAAGTTGAATTATTTTCTTTCTTCAATTTTTTTGTAATACATGTAACTATCTCGCTTTAAAAATGATACTAGTAAATTTACTTTTTCCAGATAGGAAATAATCTTTTTGTCGATAATGCGTTCACGCTTATAATCTCATTACCTCACCGACATAAAAATAGGGAAGCAAGCTAATATACGCTTGATCGTGATGAAGGGTAAGCAGCCTTCAAAGGGTGACACAAAGTGAAGAAAAGGGTGCGAGAGATGACCGACGATAATTTTATGCAAAGAGCATCTTTCAAGGTTTTACCAATCATAGGAGAATTTTTTAACAGAATATTCCCAATTGCGAGTATCACGGCTAAGGGTCGGTTTTAAAAGGGAAAATGTAAACGGAGAAAAAGGGAGGGAAAGTTTATATTTGCTTTACCCCGTGAGAGCTTCTTGAAAAGGATATAAAGCTCATCGATAAAACCAAATGGAAACCAAAATAGGATATTTTTTTATTGTCTTTGTTTTTGATCAATATTCTATAAATATGAAAGGATAACGATACGAACACTAAATATAACGCAATAAGGTCCATAAAGTGTGTAAACATCGTCGCTAGCAAAAATTTCGCGAAACATTGTGTTCGCAGCATATGCGTTGCAAAAACGAAGCTGAGCTACGCAAGAAAAAAAAATTGTATTAGAAACGAACGTCTATTGCAAATACTAGGCTTCAGAAATTGATCGTTTAAAGACCGACTGGCAAAATTCCGATGAACTTCGGCGCCGGCGAAGAACAATTCGACGTAAACTGAGAATTGCATTTGGCTCGGCACGTGAAGTAAAATCAGCGCACACGGTTTATCTTAGAACACAAAGTCCGAGCCGTTCAGTTAGCTTGCTGCCAACTTTTCAAGCCGGTCAACATGTTTCCGTAGTGAACACCAAGTGGCCGTGAATCGATCCGCGCATCATTTTTCGACTTGTCCGCTCTTGGCGACAAGTAATATTATTCCTCGTGTGCTTTTTTTCACCAACCTAATAGTCTGTTAGATCTCTAGTAATTCTAGAACATGTGCTTTTTTTAATCCAACATTGTGCATATGTTTTTATCCAAAAAATTTTGAAGATAAATTATTTTATTACGATAAATTGTAATTCATATTCTCTAAAATTATAATCTATCCTTAATCTCTTGCGTGAATTAATTTGTGATAAGTGTGCACAGTTAGGCACAAGGTTGCTTGCGGAATGAAGGAAAACAAAAATATGTTAACGTCAAGTTTACTCGATACACCACAAGTCTAGATTCGTATTTGTTTTGTTTGATAATAATCTGTGTTACGAGTCTGACTCGTGTTTTTCGCTCGTTTGACCTATAATCTATACCACGAATCTTACTTGATATAATAAGGCAAAGGATTAATTAATAATTAACAAGTGCATAAATGATGAGGCATCACGCTGAACACTATTTTGGTAAAAATAGTTTGGCAGAAAGAGGTTAAAAGAGAGAAAGAGGGAGAAAGAAAGAGAGAGAGAGAGAGAGAGAGAGAGAAAGGGAGAGAGAGAGAGAAGCGAAAGAAGGGTGGATGAATAGCGCAAGGTGGATGGAAATGGCGCGACATTTCATTCAATTTAAATGAAACTCGTATTAACGATGTGAAATCAGTGAATTCAATTAGGCGGGCTTTATTAATACAACATGATTAATTAAACAATAGCGCGATAAGGATGGGGTGTGGAGCGAAATAAGACCCGGGGAACGAGCAAAGGGTTACGCTCCGCGAGAGCGGCAGATGTTCGTGGCGTCAACCGAATTATTAAATATCGTAAGTTTGCACGCTTGTCGCAAACACATTTCTTCGGAAAGCACAGACTTTCCCGCTATCGCCGGTCAATCTGTTACGAACTTTGTATTGTAGAATATATATTTGTAAAATTGCATTAAACGGACCACGTAAATTATGTTCAAAATAAAAATTTCCTACTTTGTGTTTGATGGGCGAACGTGAGAGAGCAGATGTAAGTATCACTATTACACGTCGCGCACTCCACGAGAGAGAATAGATTTGTTTGCTTGGGATTTTGAGAGGTGTCTATAAGTGAGACGGCATTTCCCTTTGTTCTTGCCGACGGTAGATTTTTCTGAGACAGGTACACTTCACTTACCTGAGCCGA